TTTTCATTCTCATCCCCGTCCCCGTCGGGTATCGGGTATACCCGTACCCGTCATTTTTTTTTATTTTTTATTTTTTTTAAAAAAATGATATTTTTAATTTTTTTTATTTATTATATTATAATTATAATTAAGTTATTTCTTTATCTTATATTATAACAAATAATCACACATAAAAAAATATTAATTTTTTTTAATATAATTAAATTGAAAGTGAATATTAAATTAAAAATGAGAACGGAGACGGAGACGGGTACGGGTTCGGGTACGGGACGAGTAAGTACATACCCGTACCCGATTTAATATACCGGGTTTTACCCGTACCCGTACCCGGTCAAACCGGGTATTTCTCGTCAAAGTCGGGATGGGTACGGGTATGTTTGTCATCCCTACTCAATTAGAGTTGTCAAATAAGTTATATTGGGTCTGACTCATAACAAGTTAGATAAAAGGTGGATCAATCTAGCCCAACTCACTTTTGGATAAGTCTATAAAAAATAAACTCAACCTAGTCCATCACAAGTTAGTGGGTTAAACAAATTAACTCATTTAAATTGATAAAATTATCGAACTTAATAAAAAAAATACCTTTTATAGTCTTATATCTTAGAATTACAATTATGTTTAAAATAAGAAAAAGTGAACTTGGTCACGAAAAGTAGAGTGCTCTTCCATCTGAATGTACCCTGCAGCTCGAGCACGGAGTTCGTCCATATCAAGAGGAGATCGTAGACACAGGCTGTCTACGGAAGGTCCAGGCTTGAGCGCCATGAGCATGGCGTGTAGGGCAACCTCGGGGTTCAATTTTCGAATCTTGACCGAGATACTGGCAAAGCGTTCCATGAGCGCCCTTAGTGATTCATCGTCGCCCTGTCTGAGACTAGCCAAGGCGGCTGATGTGACATGGTGAGGTCGACTCGTGGCATACTGCGCCGTGAATCGCCTTACCAGAGTGTCGAAGTTGTCTATTGACTCCACCGGCAGTTGAGTGTACCAGTTGAGCGCTGCCCCCTTGAGCGAGGTCGGGAAAACCCTACACAGAATAACATCTTTATTAGTGTATAGGTTTACCTGTGTAATGTACAGATCGACGTGCTCGTCTGGGTCTGTCGTGCTGTCGTAACGGTCGATGTGGAGAGGCTTCCATCCGAAAGGGAGAAGCGTTTCCATGATGCCATCCACAAAAGGATGACGGCGGAAGGTGGCTTGATTTCCCATGACGTGGGCAGGAGCATTGCTGACCTCGTGGGCCGACCTGTTCGTCGGTGTGTGAGACCAATGTGTGACAGGTCGGGGAGTGGGTGCCCTAGGCGCGGTTGGGGGTTGAGAGACTGAGTGCCCCTCTTCCTCGCGTTGGTTATTCGATGGAGGGGGTTGATCAGAAAGGCGCCGAGGAAGCTGGGCGCGAATACGTTCATTCTTGGCGCGCAGCGTCGCTAGGTCAGCTTTGTTAGCGGTACGCAGCGCCGCTAGGTCAGTTTTGTGCTTGGCACGCATGTTTCGCAGATCGGCGTCGTGTTGTTGTCGCATCTGCTCGACCTGTTCTATCAGTCTTCTCAATGATGCTGCGTCACCCATGCTTGTCGCGTGATCAGCGTCGTCTGTTGCTCGTCTGGTATGGCTTTTGGTGAAAACCATACGGGTGGCCGATAAGAGCCGTCTTGATCGACCCCACGGTGGGCGCCAAATGTTCTTACCGGAAATCTGCTGTAGAGCTGATCCGCCAGGTAAGATTGGTGAGCCTCCTTCGCTGGTACGCTTGATGCTCCAAGATGGGGGTGGTACCTGCAAAAGAGACTCCAATGCTAAAGTTAGTATTTGTGGGAGTATTAGTCTCGTATAAATAATGCACGTACCTTAGTATGAATTAAAGTTTTACTGGGCCCTGGGCCCGAGATCAGTTATGACCTATTTGGGCGACGAGCTGACGTCACATAGCGCGTGGCCGAGGTCGTCTTGCGCTGTGATACCGAGCTGGGAGCTCGGCTTCGCAGTACAGATAGTACACTATGTTAAAAAAAATGTCTCTTTCATATTTTTAAGAGATGGAAATGTATTGTTAGCAATATATTAAATATAGGGGATCAAATGAATTTTTAATAAGCATGTCCTTAAGTATATCAATGATATCTTTGCATCATTAATTTTCCTAATAGTTCCATTTCCTAAAATTAGAACCCCATCTAAAAATTTCTTTAATTGACAAACTTCTTGATTTGAAGACCCACATTACAGCCTTGTGTTTTCTCAAAGCAAACACTTTACATAACGATTATATATATGAAACATTAATGGTATGCAAGAACAATATCTTCTCTGGTCTCCTTTAGTATTTAAAATCACCACCAAATACAACACTTTTTTCTCTAGATTTGAGTTGTTCTTATTAGAAAATTGAATATCCATAATGTTCTATCAATAGTTTCAAAATAAGGCCCAAGAGTCATTGAAGTTTCATCCAAATGATAAGTCTTATAAGTTGAATCTTCATTGACATTTATAGGAATTTGAAATCTTAAATATGTTGTCCTACCCTTAAAAATTAAGATACAACGCAATTATTTCACCTAATCATAAAAATAATTTATCCTTTAGATCTAATAGTTACAGAAGTAGTAAAAAAAAAGTTTTACTTATTCTTCTATAACTATACATAAAATTATTTTCACGAATTGTGAAAACATAAATATTTCATTACTCAATCGTATTGTAAATAATGCTCTTAAAGATGTCTTATCATAGTTTAATTTATCACAAAACGAGTTAATTTTAAAGCTAAAAAATAATATTTAAATTCGAGCAAAACATTAAAAAAATATTAACCAAAAAATCTATCGTTATTTTATAACAATTTTTTCAATTCAGTAAGATTACATTAACAAGTTGAACAAAATATGTTAGAATAGTGGATTAAGCCTAACTCAACCCTACAAAATCGGCTTGTAAGGTGAGGGTTGCTTTCCACTTATATATTATTCAATTGCCTAATCTCTAGTCGATGTGAGACTTGGATTTTTTCCAATACACCCCCTCACGTCCAGCACTATTGGACTTGGTACGTAGATAAATGGTGGGTGACCCTTTTTAATGATCTAGGATTGGCGGGACTTGGATTTTTCCCAATACACCCCCTCACGCCTATGAGGCATGCATCAATGGTGGGTGGCCCATTTTTAAAGTGGATCTAAATGGCTCTGATACCATGTTAGAATAGTGGATTAAGCCTAACTCAACCCTACAAAACCGGCTTGTAAGGTGAGGGTTGCTTTCCACTTATATACTATTCAATTGCCTAATCTCTAGTCGAT